AATTTTATGGGGATTTTGAGGGCTTTTTTTTGCTTTTGAGGGGTGTTTTAGGGCCGTTTTTGGGGATTTTGAGGACTTTTTTTTTTTTTTTGAGGACTTTTGCAGGTTTTTAAGGGCAATTTTTGGGGGTTTGGCGCCATTTTGGGGTTCGGTGGCCGGGGCTGCTCCCGCCTGAGGCAGCGCAGAATAAAAATTGAGAGGAGTACAAAAAATGGGCTCTGGACTCTTTTTTTTTTTGGGGGGGGGGGGGGTATTTTTGGGAAATTTTTTTTTTTATTTTTAAAGTTTTTTTATTATTTTTAAGAGTTTTTAGGGGGGTTTTGAGCGCTTTTTCTGGGGGGGGTTATTAGGGATTTTTTAAGGGTTTTTATAAGAGTTTTGAGGGGGTTTTTTAGGGCCGTTTTTGAGGGGGTTTTTTTAGGGCCGTTTTTGACGGGGGTTTTTGGGATTTTTTAGGGCCGTTTTTGAGGGTTTTTTTTAGTGTCGTTTTTGGGGGTTTTTTTTAGGGCCGTTTTAGAGGGGGTTTTTTGGGGGTTTTTTTAGAGCCGTTTCTGAGGGGGTTTGAGGACACCCATCAACCCCTCGGGCATCCCAGACCCTTTCTCAGGGTGTTTTGGGGGGGTTGAGCCTTTCCCGAATGTTTTAGTGGGGTCTGAGCCCACCCCGAGCCCCCCATTACCGGTCCATCATCCCCCCCCTCCTCTTTTAGCCCCCCAAAATCCCCCAAACCCGCAGCCCACCCCAGCAGGCGGCAGCCAGGACACGGAGGGGACACGCGGGTACAAATCCCAGAGCGAGCCTTTATTGGACCCCGGCGAGGAAGGGGAGGGGGCTTTGAGGGCGGGCTGGGGGCTGGGGGCGCGGGACCCCCTCCCCAGCCGCCCCCGGTACCGACCGGACACCGAAACACGGACACGGAGAGACACGGAATAACTTAACCCCGCGGGGCCGGCCTGGGACCCCCGGGATGGGCCAGGGACCCCCGGGGCAGGGGGCGAGGGGCGGGGATTGGGGGGGACACGGCCTGAAGTGCTGCACCCCCCCCCAAAGCGAAGCTGCGGCCGAGAACAGCGGGAGGGGTCTGGGGTGGGGAGGGGGAGACCCCCGAGGGGTTTGGGGTGAGGAGGAGAGACCCCCGAGGGGTCTGGGGTGAGACCCCCAAGGGGTNGGGGGGCAGGAATTCCCGGGACGGGGGGCTGGGAATTCCCGGGACAGGCGGGGGCCAGGGAATTCCCTTTATTTACCGAAGTCCAGGAACTGCTTCATGGAGAGCGGCGACGGCGAGAACTTGCTGAAGTGCTCGATGTAGGTGGGGACGCCGGCCAGCGCCGCGCGCTTGCCGAGGCACCGCAGCAGCCGCATGGCCCCGCTGTCCCCTCGGGGTCCCCCCGGTGTCCCTTTGTGTCCCTTTGTGTCCCTTTGGTGTCCCCCCGCTGTCCCCTCAGGGTCCCCTCAGGGTCCCCTCAGCGCCCCCCGGCCCGGCCGCGGCCCCGCCCCCTCCGCGCCGCGCGCAAACAACACACCCCGCTGTCAATCCACGGGGCCCAGCCAATCAGCGTCTCGCTCTGCGGCAAACCCCGCCCCCGGCCCGTGCCGTCCGGGCACGCCCCGCTGTCAATCAGCGCGAGCCACGCCCCCTCCGCGGAGCTCGCGCCGCCCGGCCCCGTCGGCCACCGCCGCGCGCCTCGCGGCCAATCGGAGCCCGCGCTGCTCGAGGCCACGCCCCTCTCGGCTAACCCCGCCCCTCGTGACGCAAAGGCGCTGATTTGCATAATCGGTGCCCGGTACCGGGTCCGGTTCCGTGGCCGGGGCAGTGGCCGGGTCTGTGGCCGCTACCGGGTCCGCTCCCGCCCGAGGCAGCGGAGAATAAAAACAGAGAACTGCAAAACAATCGGCTCCGCACTCTTTTTTTTAATTTTAAGGGTGTTTTTTTTGAGGGCTATTTTTTTAATTTGGGGGTTTTTGATTGTTTTTTGCTTTTTGAAGGGTTATAGGGTCGTTTTGGGTGGGTTTGAGGGCTTTTTTTGGTTGTTTTTTTTTGTTGTTGTTTTTGAAGGGTATTCTGGGGCCTTTTAGAGCTGTTTTTTGGGGGTTTCGGGGCCTTTTAAGGAATTTTGCGGGTTTTTTGGGGAGGATATTTGTGGCTTAATGAAGGGTATTTTGGGGCCCTTTTAGATTCATTTTGGGGTTCTTTTTTGGGGGTTTTGGGGTTTTTTTCTTTGCTTATTTAGGGCATTTTGTTCACCTTCTAAGGAGCTTTTCTTGCTTATTTGGAACCTTTTTTGCGTGGTTTTTTTTTTGCTTTCTTTCTTTTTTGGTTTTTTTTTTCTTTGTGGGTTTTCTTGAGCCTTTTTGGAGGTTTTGGGAATTTTTTTTTTTTGTGGGTGGTCAGATTTTTTGGGCCCTGTTTGAGGGTGGGCCACAGGCTTTGCTCTTTTTTTGGGGGCCTTTCCTGGGGGCTTTTCATCAGGGCTTTTTGGGGCCTGTTTTGGGGATTTTTGGAGGGCTTTTTGGGGTGGTTTTGGGCTGTACCTCCAGGAGTTTGTTCTTCAAATCCGCCCTTCCTTGATCCCATCGCTGCCTGGGCACGGATCGAAATCTTCCAGCATCTTTTGGGATTTTGTGGGGGGCTCTTTTGGGCTGTATCACGAGGAATTTGGTGGTGCTGGAGATTCCCAAATTCCTGGGGGATCCCGCATTCCCAGAGATCCCAAACTCCTGGAGATTCCCAAATTCCTGGGGGATCCCGCATTCCCAGAGATCCCAAACTCCTGGAGATTTTGAAATCCCTGCTGGAAATTCCCAAATTCCCGAAATTTGGCTCCGTTTGGTGCTGTCAGCAGCGCGAGGCCCCTGATCCCACCCCGATCCCTTTCCCTCGGGATGAATTCCCCACAACCCCAAAACCACAGCTCCCCTTCATTAATTAACCCATCAATCAAATCAATTAACCAGCAAATCAAAACCACCCCTGGACGCTCCTCCAGCTCCATAAAAACCCCTGGGAAAACCCCGGGCAGAATGCATTTGTTCACCTCCCAGATCAGACATTAAAAACCCACTTTTATTTCGATTTTCCCCTAATTTTTTTTTCTTTTTTTTTTTAATTTTATTTTTTTTCCTGCTCTTCCATTTCCCGGGAGCCTCTGCCAGGCTCCGGCCCCCGCTCGGAGACGCCGTGGGAGGGGAGAGCCGAGCTGGCGTTTCCTCTCCGTGGGAGCCGGAGGTGACAGCGCTGTGTCACCAGTGCCATCTGTGCCACCACCCCGGCCCGGGGACACCGCCGTTATTCCCGGCTTTGTTCCCAGGATTATTCCCGGGATTTATCCTGATGGTCTCTACCCCCTAAAAGAGGAGGGAAAGCTGATTTCTTTGGAAAAAAAAAAAAAAAAAAAAAAAAGTGGGGGAAAAGAATCCACAAGTGGATTTTGGAGCCTTGGAAGTGACAGCGCTGTCACCAGTGCCATCTGTGCCACCACCCCAGCCTGGAGATACCGCCGTTATTCCCAGGATTATTCCCGGGATTATTCCTGGAATCTGCATTTCCTGACGCTGATGTGCTGAGCTGCCACCTAAAAGAGGAGGAAAAGCTGATTTTCCGTGGAAAAGGTGGCAAAAATGAGCCACGAGTGGATTGTGGAGCCTCGGAGGTGGCATCGGCCATCGGTGCCACCACCCCGGCCCGGGGGTGGCTCCGAGCTTTGTCCCCATCTCCCGGGGACCCCCTGTGCCCCCTGCATCCATCAGAACACTCCGGGATGGTTTCGCTTCCGAATTAACTCCGGAGCTGACGGAAATTCCTCATTTGCACTTCAAAGCGCTTTGCGGCGAGTCCTCGGCCGGCGCCGGGAGCGGGATGGTTTTGCGGCAGATCCCGATCCTGCGGGTCCCTGAGGATCCCTGAGGGTCCCTGCGGGTCCCTTGGGGTGCCTGCAGGTCCCTGCGGATTCCTGTGGATCCCTTTGGGTCCCTGCGGGTCCCTGTGGAACCCTTTGGGTCCCTGCGGGTCCCTGAGGATCCCTTTGGGTCCCTGCGGGTCCTTTTGGGTCCCTGCGGATCCCTGAGGGTCCTTGAGGGTCCCTGTGGATCCCTGAGGATCCCTGCAGGTCCCTGTGGATCCCTTTGGGTCCCTGCAGGTCCCTGTGAGTCCCTGCGGATACCTGAGGATCCCTTTGGGTCCCTGCAGGTCCCTTTGGGTCCCTGCGGGTCCTTTTGGGTCCCTGCGGATCCCTGAGGGTCCTTGAGGGTCCCTGTGGATCCCTGAGGATCCCTGCAGGTCCCTTTGGGTCCCTGCGGATTCCTGTGGATCCCTTTGGGTCCCTGCGGGTCCCTGTGGATCCCTTTTGGTCCCTGCGGGTCCCTTTGGGTCCCTGCAGGTCCCTTTGGGTCCCTGCGGATCCCTTTGGGTCCCTGAGGATCCCTTTGGGTCTCTGCAGACCCCCCTGGGCCCCATCCCTGGGGTTCTGCTCCCACTCCTGGTGGCTCTGCTGGGGCGGGATGAGGCCCTGGCAGGAATCCGGGGCCACCGGGATCACTCAGAGCCGTGGAAGTGTCCGTGGGTGGGTCTGGCCATGCCGTGGGTCATTCAGGGTCTGTCCTCGGGCACCAAGGCTGGCAGTGACCCCACCGAGGGGTCTGCAGGGGTCTGTCNCCACTTGGTCACCCAGAGCTTCTTGCGGCGGCGGGGCAGGAGCCCCCCGGGCTGGTAGCGCTGCTCCTGCCGGATCCGCACCGCGTGGTACTTGGGCATGATCCGGTAGTAGCGGGTCCGCTGGAAAAAGTCACACTGCGAGGGGCAGAGAGAGAGGACAGGGGGTCAGCGAGGGGCCGGGGAGGGTCGGGGAGAGGGACAGAGACCCCCGAGGCGGCGAAGAGCGGAGCAAAGGGAGCAGCGATCCTGGAGCCGCCCGGAGACCCCGCGGAGCCCTGAGGGACCCTGCGGGACAGAGGAAGAGGAGAGGAGGCTGAAGAGGAGGAAGATGCCGCTGCAGCCCGGCCCCACGGGGCATTACCAGGCGGGGCCCGGGGGGGCACGGGGGGTGCCCCCCGTTAGTAGTCGTCCGTGAGCCGCTCGGTTTCCGACGGCTGGATCCTCATCTCCGCCTTCTGCCCCTTGGCCTCGTACATGGCCCGGGTGTTGGCCCGCCGGAAGAACCCGCACTGCAGGGAAGGGGACAGGGTCAGGGGGGCCGGGACAGGGGCTGGGGGGGTCCTGGGCACCCCCTCAGGTGGGGGAAGAGGGGCAGGGAGATGCCCCACAGGGATGCTGCGGGGTAGGGGGTACTGCAGAACCAGCGAGCCCCTCCTGGGTAGAAGAGGGGGCTTCAAGAAGCTGGGGGTGTCTTCAGGGGGCTGTGGGGGTCCCCCAGTTCCTGCAGCGCAGCCACAGGGAGCGGGTCCAGCCCCGCTTTGGGCACACATCCCAAAATGTTTTGCACCCCAAGACACGCTGGGAATGTCTCTCTGCTCCTCTTCCTCATCCCTCTCCAGCCGGGAATCTTCCTCCTGGGAGGGCACCTCCCACCTGGGGGACACCTGCCACCCGTGGGGCACCTTCCAGCCGAGGGGACAATCTTCCAGCAGCGAGTCCCTCGCACCCCTCGCCGGGCAGGGAGGAAGCGGCCATGGGTGACACGAGCCCGTCGGGTCTCAGCGCAGCTCCTGCACCCCCTGTCCCGGGAAAGGGGATTTGGGACCCCCCTCACCTTCCAGAGGAGGAGGATGATGAGCCCCAGCAGCAGCAGCCCGGCTGCCACCGACACCAGCACCAGCCAGAGCGCGATCTCGGCCGGCTGCTCCTCCTGCAGCTCCGAGTCCACGTCCACGGAGAACTGGAGGGGTGGGAAGGGCCACGGAGGGTTGGGGCACGGAGCTGCAGCGGCCCCAGTCCCGCCCAGTTTGCCCCAGCAGGGCTGTGCTGCGGCTCACCCGCACCGTGTGGTTCCTCATGGTGATGGTGGGCACCTGCGAGCGCAGGAACAGCGTGGCCGTGCCCGTCACCTTCACTCGGTCAAAGTCCCGGAACTCCTGGGGACGGGGGGACACGGCTGAGGGACAGGCAGGGACACGGGGATGGTGGGGAGAGACACGGAGATGGTGGGACACAGATGGCAGCAGGTGGAGGATGGTGATGGGGATGTGGAGGATGATGACGGGGACATGGATGATGGTGACACGGACGGAGGGGGGACACAGGTGAGGGTAGGGACACCCAGGGGTGGGTGCCAGCTCCTGAGCTGCGCCCTGGCAGGCTCGGGGCCCTGTTTAACGCCGCCCCAGGGCTCAGGCAGCACTGACCTCGATGAAGGTGCTGTTCCAGACGCGGGCGCGGAGGCTGAAGCTGGAGGGGAGCTGCGTGTGCAGCAGGGGACACTCGAACCACACGCAGCGCGCCGTGCCCGCCGAGCAGCTCTGGGGGACACGGGGGTCAGGGGGGCCCAAAGCGCCTCCCCGGTGCCGGGAAGCAGCGGGGACGGTGACCCGGGAGGGGGACGTGCTGCCCGACCCCCTCACCCCACTCACCAGCGCCGCCTCGGACCTCGGGCGCCGGCCGGTGGCCAAGGTGACCGGGGGCTCCCCCGGCTCGGGGGGCTCCAGCTCCCGTCTCCGCCGGGATGGAGCCCGGTCCTGCAGGAGCTGAGGGGGGACACGAGCCCCATCAG